CATGTGTGTGTGTGTGTGTGTGCGTCGAGGGACGGGGCGGGGGTGGAGGAGGAGGAAAATAAGAGTTAATTAAATAATAACAGTCAATTTGAATCCTCCATTACTTGCTTGTTTGACCTATTTCCTTTGCCTGACAGTGCTTTTTTGTTGAATTACAACCAAAGGCTTGAGTCCTTTTATCCAAGACTGTGCATTCTGGCGTAATTCCTCTTCTTTGTTGTGTATTTGTCGGTTCCAAAGTTGGGACAAGGAAGATGCGATGTGTTCTTTTACGTTCGGTTTCATGTCAGAGAATGAGAATTTACTATTTTTGTTTTTATGTAGTTTTAGTAGAGATTCCTTTGCAAAGTGGTCAACGGCTTCGTTGCCATCAATGCCTATATGGCTTGGAAGCCAGGCTATTGTAACAGATTTTCCAGATTAATGTAAAAAAATGCAGTTTAATTAAAAGTTTTAAAATTCTGTTGTCTGTTATCGGAGGTGTCAGACCGCTCTGGAGATTTCAGACAAGAGAGAGAGAGTCTGAATGGATTAGGAAAGTAGACGTGGTCGATTTATCTATAATATTTAGGGCCATTTCAAGAGCTGTAGCCTCAGCAGTATAGACTGGGGCTTCTGGGTGGGAGTTTCTGTAAGCTTAAACCGTTGTGTTGTGTTTTTCAAGACTTGTGTCTGTGTTAGGTTTGGTTAAATGCCAAGGAGGTATGCTGGACATGGCAAAGGGCTCGATTATGTCTTTAGAAAAATAAATGTCTTGGAGATCGTTCTGGATTCTTATTCCGAAAGGGATTACTTTATTTCCTAAGGAGGATAGAGTTTTTAGATCTTCGGAAAGGCCTTAGACACATTTGTGGGCTGGGTTTTGGGGTACTGAGCAAAATTTAAAAGCGTACTGAAAAGAGAGTTTTTGTCTTCTAAGTTCCAAAGATGGTTCGTGAGATTCTGCCTGTAAACCGTCTACAGGTGAAGTACGGAAAGCGCCTAGGACAAGGTGAAGGCCTTGTTTCTGAATTTTATTATAAGACTTTCTGGCTGATCTGTAAACAGGACTGGCATAGTCCAGCCTGGAGCGGACAAGGGAACGGTAAAGCTGAAGAAGTATTTCAGTATCTCCTCCCCATTCAGGATTGGATATTACTTTTAAGGCGTTGAGAGCACTCTGACACCTCGTCTTTAGGTCTTTCAAGTGTGGTAGGAAAGAAAGTTTATTGTCGAAGATTACGCCCAGGAAACGAGCTTGTTTTTTAACAAGAGTTTCCCCTCCATACAAATATAAATCTAGTTGTCGCACACACTTGTGCGACAGACAAAAATGCACTAAGTTTGTTTTTATTGTGGAGAATTTGAACCCGTGCCCGTTTGCCCAAGTTTCCAGTTTATGGAGTTGAAGCTGAAGCTGACGTTCAATGTGATCCATTTTGGATTTGGATTTATAGCAGATCAGGAAGTCGTCAACGTAAAGTGAGCAGTCAATATTGTTTTGAAGGGGTTTTGTGATGGAATTGATTTTGATTTCGAAAAGAATGGGCGATAAGATGC